ATAAGATATAAAATATCACTCCGGATTTTCAGGGTTATTGATCAGCGAATTAAGGTCCAATTCGCATTCCGGTGACATATGCTAAAAAAAGAATTCATTAATTATAGAAAGAAATCATTAAATCTAATAAAAAAATAATGCTGTTGTTAGTCTTACGAGATTTGAAAACGTCCAAAATAATTACATTACACTGTTAGAAATTCCAAAGAGAACTTATTTTCATTATCTATTAATATTATTAAAAACAAAGAGAATTAATTCATACCTTTTTTATCTGTCTATTAATAATAACATTAAAAACAAAGAGAATTAATTCATACCTTTCTTATCAATGCTATTAATATTATACAAATATTTATGCATATAGCTTACCAATTTCCATTTTTTCTTAATATTAATATTAATGAAATAAATTTCATAATAATACATTACTAGCATTTTTCCTTTTCTACCATATTAATTAGTTATTCTAATCTTAGAAACAAAAAACTTTTTAGTAAAAACCATTAACTATAGTTTGACTACTCAACATAAACACAATAAACAATATTATTTCTAAGAGCCAAAGTTTAATTTTTGTTTTATTTGAACCTATAAAGTTTGAATTCTTGTACTATAATTTGTTGTATAGAAGTGGTGACGTCATTAAGAACTGAAGGTATAACTTTGAACAGACCATTCTTTTCCGTTTTCTTAATAAACTATAGCCAAACTTTTGCGAGGTAATAAATTAAATCTCAAACAACGTGTGTACAAAGAATCACACTCCTTGTTTAGAAATGTCATGTGGTTTTACTAGTAGCAAATGAAAATTTCCTTCGATTTTAATAGTAAAAATTGAAATGTTTCACGAAAAAATTACATAGCTACAGCAGTAGACATGTCGATCCCGTGAAATTACGGATGACTACTATTGGTTTTTTTTGGTAGGACAGACACGAATTGATTTTTTTTTTTTTTTTTTTCTGGAAAAACAATTTATTTTCTGATGGAGTCCAAGGTGACAAAACGTGAGTGTTGTTGTTTGGTTTGGTTTGGGTCTCCTAAAGAAAAAATGTTAATAACTAACCAGAGGTACTTTTTTTTACTTGTATTGATTGATATTGTCTTTTTTGGTTATTATAAATATTTTAATTGGAAATCAAAACATGGAGCAGATCTTGCTGGGTAATTAAAGATTTTCATTGATAATATTGATAATATTTTGCTTTTCATAACCAATAATAATATTATTATAAATATTATAATTACAAGATATCAAGGCAGCACACTGTTGAAAAAGAAACATTTCGAAGTATGCAACGTTTGATTATCGGAAAATGGCAGGCGTTGAAGCACACACGCTACCTTGAACACTTTACAGTCATTCTCTCACCTTCCTTGTGTACATAAGGCCAATCTGACCACGCTGCCCCCAATGATACAATGATGCTACAGAATTCCAGGGGGGGAGCCCAAGGCCCTGGAGTTTACCATGACTGCATCAATTGTCAATGACACTTTTGATCTTCCCTCACAGCACCCAGACCAGAGATGGCCGCTGGCATGCTGGATGAAAAAGTTGCTTGCAATGATCCTACCTCTAGGGTAAGGATGGCACTGTGACCAAGTTGCAACTCTGCTGATGAATATTAAGAGAATCTGCAACTTGTCTCAAGCACAGGAGGTCACAATTCAGAGCAGGGTTGGTGGCCCTGAAATTGCATTTGGACTCTGATGTTAAGAGGGAAGTTGTAAAATAGTGTTT